AATTTATAAAATGAAGTGAATATATAAATAGATAGTACTGTACTGTATATTATACTATAGCCAACATCTATGAGATTACATTCAAATAGTATTGATTTATTCGCTTATATAATGCAAAATATACTCTGAATTATGTATTAATGCAATGCATTTGCTTGACATCGAAAACAGGTGACAAAAAAGTCTTTTCTTGAGCTCATGAGTAATGGCAGAGATGACCGAAGCATACGTTGTGTCACTCCATTCACATCCACTGATTCAGTGATTCAGTGGATCACCACCTCTGCCAACACATACACAACACTCCACTCTATTGTAGCTGTAGTTGCCTTCGGTTACAATGAACTGCATTCAGATGTGGGATCCAAACGGACGTGTAGTCAGACTTCTATGCGTTTGAAAAATATTCTGTACGTGAAGTAAGCAATCGTTTGGAGCATTACCTCTAAGTCTGTACATCATATTGAGACTCATTTTTTAGTTAACCAAACAATGAACGAATATATTATTAAAAGGATTTTAGAGTTTATCTAATATTTTATACGAAACTTATATATTATTCAATGAAAATACTTTTAATGATAACACGTTACACAGACTCACTATAAATTACAATCGATTTGAATATTGTATTAATTTTGAAAAACAAACAAAACTTGTGTGAAAGTAGAAAATGTTTTGTTTGGCAAAACCATATCAACAATGCATTTAAGTTTCGTTTTATTAAACAAAGTATCGACTCTTTTATTATTAGATTAATGACAGACAAGAGACTCATTTTTCGTGAATCACTTAAAATACTAATTAAATTAATGAATTCATTCAACGACTAAAATCTTAATAAAAAGTTAATGTAATTTTGTTCACAAAAAATTAGATCAATGTTTATGTAATCAAATAATACATAAGTTTTATATTTTGTAGAATAAGAAATGAAAGCAAATCTATATTATTTGATTAAAAATAATTTTATTCTTGCTTTTAGTTCAATCAGCGCTTATAATAATAATAATAATAATAAATTTAATGCATTTGTTAATGGTAATTTACCATACAAGTTCATTGCATGTCCATTCAAATTAAATAAATTGAATGTGAATTAATGTATTAATTATATATTATTAGTTATTATTTTGATTACTATACAGTATACGGTACTAGTATTTTACTGTACATTATATCACTTAATTCAATACATTTTATCTATTTGTATAAATATACTTCAATCGTAACCAATTTATATAATAGTTTATATTTACTTAATTGTAAATTAAATTTATCATTTAGGATTATTTCTATGCATTAACACTGCGCTAATAACCAAAAATAAAATTATTTAATTTGTTCTAAGCTAGTAAAGGGCTTAGTTTTTTTTGAAAATTAAAAATTAAATTATTTTTGTTTGTTTTTATAAATTATTTATATATTCCTAATACAAAGTGTAAAAGATATACCGTATAAAAGTAAAGTATTTTATAATTTGATTTTTAATACAGTAAAATAAACCATTACGATATACTGTGGTGTTATACTCGTGTAATAAAATAAAAACTAGAATCATTTTATAATTACCATTTATCCATAATACCATAACATATTATGTTTGTTCATTAATATCCAATTTATAACATTGATGTCATAAATTTATATAAAAACAAGCCCCAAGAAACAAAAGTAGTTTCTGATTTAAAATAACAATAAAATATAGAGAATAACAAATTGAAAACAAAAATAAGATTCAATTTGTTTTAACATTTCATATGAAAAGACAATAAAAACAAAAGTGATGTGAATTCACGCGGAGAGTTAAACTTAGCCCTAATGTTAGCAAAACTTATATTAACATCAAATGTAATGCACAGAACATGCGATGCGTTTATCTCAAGACTTAATATCCAATCAATGAAATCCGTTGCAAAAGTTTATTTAGAAATAGACTTCAATTGGATTTTCATTTAGTCAATGCAATCGTTAAGTAAATATTATGGCAGTTTAGTCCACACAATGATATTTAATACAATGACTCAATTGAATCAAATCTATCGAAACAAACAATTTATACTAACATTCATTTAAATTGACATTTTCACCAAATTTGTATGATATTGTTTTATAAATAACGGGAAAATTGTTTATTTTAAAAGTATTTAAATTAGTAAACATTTAATACAATAATAACAATAGTATTAATGTTAAGACAAATGTTTAAACTTGATAAGAGCCTTATTTCAAATGATTTCATGTTAAGATAAAAGTGTTGTTTAAAAGCAATTTTTGAAATCTGAGACAAACTATTGTCTAAACATTTTAAACAAAAGATAGGAATCTAAATTAAATAATTATTTATTTTAAGACATAATACATTCAACTTTGGGATAAGACATGTAAAGAGGAGACTTTGCTTTCTTTCAAATTGTTGTACAAAAATATTGCACAAAACAAAGTAAAAATAAATTACTCATTTTTAAACTGTAATTTTATCTGTATGAAATTATTTTTGTTAACAATTATTGTACAATTGGTATTTATTTTTAACTTATTTTGCTAATATTTATAATTTATTATAATTTGATTTAAAAAAGACTAAAATTCTATTAAATATTTTATATTTAAATGTCAATTAATTATATTAATTAAATGTCAGATTTGAATATATGAAAAAATAGATGAATATATGTTTGAAAATTTATTTAAATATTTCCATATTTTTATCACATCTACGTTTATGAACGACATATCTGATGATTAACTTTTGATTAAATATTTAATCTAAATTGTTATAACTTTAATCAAAAATAGAATTTTCATATATTTCTTAAATTTGAGTTACTTTTGATTAGACATTTGCATAAAATAAGATTTTAAATATAATTTGAAATCCTAGTTTTCAAACCTGACACTCGAGTGCCACAAAGAAATTCTTAAACAATGAATTCATCATTTCTATAATATTTCGTTCAATTATAAGTAGTATTCATAAAAATACATTTGGAATGCATTATGAATATTGAGTCAAATATTATAATAAAAATTCTTAAATTTCAACCTAATATTACATTTAATATTATATTAAATTTCATTTAAATAAATTCAAATTTTTGAGAGTAAATAATGATATTTTGTTGGATTTCAAAGAATCCGACATATCATATGCTATTCATATTATGTTATATAGAAATTGAAATTATAGTGAATTTTTCAATTGAAAAATCTATTGAATTCAAAAAATGCTTGAGTTTCTGCTCCAGAATTTGAATTAATTTTTAACGCTCTGAATTTTAATCAAAAATCGTTATTTTTATTTTAGTTTAAGTTTAATACTTATCCAAATATTAATCATAAACTTTGAAATAATTAGTTATATTTTTATGGATATGAACTTTAATTAAAAATTAGATAGAAATTTATTGTATAGTATGTATAAATCGTTATTATTTAAAAATTCAATACAAGTGCAATTACTGTTATTAAACTAGTATACTAGTACTCTGACCCTTATTCAAATTAATAATTAAATAATCAATAAATCAATATATTTTGAAATTATTTTTAAAATTCTTACTTAATTCAGTACATTTCACTATATTATACATTATGACATTAGTACTGACAATACTTACAATAAGTTGACACTAATTTTAATGAGTCTTGTTATGATATTAAAGTTAAATTTTATTTCAATTAATTCAAAATATTAAGTAGAATATTCTTATATGGATAAGAATTATTTTGATTAAAAATATTTCCTTTTAAGATTAAACTTCTTATTAACATTAAGTTTATTGAAGTTTTTATTGTTTTGCCTTATGTTGACCATTAAATTCAACAATAAAAATAATTATATATATTTTAATTATAGTTCCTTAATTCAAGCGGCGATAAAACTTATTTAATTGTATTTTTAAACGATTAATTTTTAATAATTAGCTTCATTTAAATTTTATTATAATTAAATTACATTAAAAGCAAGACTAATGACCATTTGCTATCAATTGTATCGATTCTCAAATGATAAATGACTTCAAACATACATTTATTTGCAAAAATTGCACACTTTTTGAATAAAAGAAAACGACAGAAATGTAAAAATATGCGATGATTTGCTAAATTATTTTAATTTAATTTTTGCGATCAAAGCATTCATTAGTCTTTAATTACATTATACTTGCCTTTAAAGATAATTAGCATTTAATGCTATTTTAATGTTTCATTCATTTTGCGAGTGAAGCCCAGAATTCACTATAAATTGATGTTATAATCTTTAATTCACTTTTCAATCAACTAATTATTCTTTACTCCATTACCATTGAAATAATAACTACTTTTTATACTTTAAAACTAATAGTAAGTATACGGAATCGATTGAAAACATAAATTATTATAAATACAGTGCCGTTTATATACTAGGCAGAAATTTATGGATAACTTATTATTTTTGTTCATTCATATTGTTTTGCGAATCAATCATTTTTGCCAACATTTTTGGCAATAAATAAATAAATGAATAAAAAGCAGTTTTGAAGACTAACAGAGAAAATAAGGGAACGACTAATTCCCTCAAATCATATTCAAAGGAAAGCATTTTTTTCATTGCGTTTCCAAGACGTGGCGTTTCGTTATTATAATGGATGAGTTGAACGAGTATTTAATATTTATTGCTTTAGTATTTCATTCAATTTCTCTCTCCTTTTGCTTTAGACATGTATTTATTAACGTGAAGAAAATTATTCCATCACTAAATCATTTTTTGCTCACAAATTGATAATAATTTAAATATTTTTACCCCAAAAATCTAGTTTAACTAAATATATTAGAGACTTGTCTAACATTAATATTTTTTTATTCCGAGAAGTGATATATTTGTTTGGTTTAAAGCCTTTTGTTTGAGAATTCATTGCAACACACATCCAGTAAATACAATATAATTTATTTCAAAATTTCATTTATGAGAAAATGTTTGATTTTTTTTATTTAAATATGAATTTTAAAATTTATATTTTGGTTCATTTATAATATATAATAATTTATCTCTTTTAATATAGTTATATATATATATATATTTACATATATTCCGAAGCAATCTTTTACAACAAAAACTTGAATTCATTGCTACCATTCCTGAGCTGATCTCGCAATAAGTCCCTGGTGAGTTTGAGGTGATGCTCGACATTAACTGATCCGACATTATTCTTCTGGATCTTCTCGAAGCACTGAATGGCTTCGTGGAAGTGCTTTCGCCTGACGTGAACGACACAGAGGTTGTGCTGAGCGAACACATTGGTTGAGTCGATGGTTAATATCCTATTATAGCAATTCTCGCCATTCTTTAAATCATTGAAATATTCAATATAAATGTCGCCCAATAGTAGCAGTCCTTTAATGTGCTCGGTGTTTGTACTCAAAAGTTTAGTTAAGTATTCAACCGCTTGTAAGGGTTGCGGATATTCTTCATTATATAATATAAGAGCCATATTATAGAGCGCTTCCGAAAAGTTGTGCTTCAATTGAATGGCGTTTTCCAAGAAGTGTTTCCCTCTATCGAAACGTCCGCTTTTGATGGCCAACATCGCTGAGTTGAAGAAAACCGTTTCGTCAGCCGAACCCAACTCAATGATTGTGTTGAGCCTTTCAATCGCCACTTCATGCAAACGACTCAATCCCTGGTCTTGTATTATACGCGCCGAGGCTAACAGTGATGGCTCGTGATGCGGGTCTACACTTAAAGCCCTGTCCAACAGTTCCAGTGCTTTCTGAGCTGATCCGCTCTCGTTCACAACTATAGCCAACTGTAAAGTCAAACAATTGTCTCTTTTAGACCTTTTAATACTTTTCTTGTGCTCACATTCTGTTAACAATCTTTTATATACAGTATATTCTGTCACTGACTTAAGGCTCTTAACTTTATTCTTAACAAAAAAAATCAAAACTTTTTTCAATGCGTTTTTGTGCTCTAAATCTTTTGACATAAGAAAGTTGTGAAACGAATTGCGCTAAACATCAAAAGTAAGTTTGGTTTTGAAAAATTCATTTTCTAGTATGAAAAAAGTGGCGGCATATACGACAAAAGGTATGAAATTTTTCATTTCGTATAAAAATTTCACTCAAGTAATGGATTAGATTTCTCGACTCTTTTGCGATGATTACTTACATTATAGAGAACGTCGGGTTCAGTGCTTTCGTATTGAAGGGCTTCGGCCAACATTACCGCCGCTTCGATGCCTCCATTCGCTGAACTCCTTAACTCTTGAGTCCAACTCTCAAACATTGGCTTAAAATCACTTTTTAGAGCCAAGACTTGTCGCCTGGAAAGGAACGCCTCTTGAGTCCGGTGCGGATCCCTTGAGATGAGTTGCGAGAGTCTGAACAGAGCTGTTAAATGCATTGACGATATCTGATGGTAAGTATTGGCCGACTCTTCCAACAGATGAGTGGCTGTTCTGTAGGCCATCTCTGCCTCCTTTGAGTTATTAGTTTTGAGTAAAATGTTACCCAAATTGAGATGTCCCCGCACATCTGACGGCTCTATTCTGTAGTTAAAACCAAATAAATAACACCAAATAAGTATAGTTTGGCAAAAAATTGCAGTCAAGTTAATCACATTAATAAGAAAATTGTTTTTATGTTCAAATCCATTACATACCGAACGGCTTCTCTAAAGTAATTGATGGCCACATCATAGCTGCCGTCTCTCTCGTGAAGTCTTCCCAAATTGTTCAGTAGTTTTGTGTTCATTGGATTCACTTTAAGGCCTGACGTATAGAGTGAGTACTCATTGTTCCTGAAATGGGTTTTTGAATGATATTAACGATAGTTTATTACCAAATATATAATCACTACAATAAACGAATTAAACTTTGTGTGCCAGTTGTGGCAATAATTTATATAAATGTAGTCATATTTTTTATATTAGTCTCATATATCAGGGAAACAAATAGAAAATATAATATTTGTGATTACCATTCATTACATCTGCGATATGTCTTCACTGTGTGAACGATCAACAGAAGGCCTATTACTGTCTTAATACCAGTCGAATGGCTCTCCCTTTCAAATACAATCAATGAATGGATGAGTGAACAAAAAATGAGATAATGTTTGCGCGAACAAAATATATATTTTATGTGTAATGAAAGTTAATATTTTTGCTATTAAATATCATACCACGAGTCAAGCATTTTCTTCACTCCCATCCCAATCAACAAAACAAATCCAATTGAAGGCAAATATAGTACTCTTTCGGCGACAACAAAACCCGTCGGGAAGAAGATATTGGATGAGGGAATGAACGGCACAATCGCTAACGTTAGCACCTATTCATACAATCAGTTATATATTACTTCACGGTATAGATTAGGAGGGGAGAGATACAGGCTCAGCTAATATGGCATTTTTGCCACAAATATTTCTGATATTTCGTTCAAAAATATTTTTGGTCACAACATCTAATCTATTGTCTAAGACATGAATTCTTAAACGAAAGCGAATTTTCACTCAATTTATATAATAATATTCAATGAAAGATAGTAAAGGCTGACCAGAAATAGTCTGTGATCTTCACTCTTGATTAAGGCATAGAATAGCAATGAGAACAATATGGCAAAGAAGGCCCCAATCGTCCAAATTCTTGGATCCAAAAGGTTTGACACCAAAGGTATGGATGCGTGCGTCCAATCACAGCTCAAATCACATGGAAATAATAGCAGCCAACTATTGAAGGCAATCAAATAACTGTACGTCAATTGCTTGGTCGGTGCGCCCGAATAGGAGGCCGGGTTGTCGAACCTAAACCATACGACCAATCAGTTTAATAATGCACTCAACTCTATATTATGAACATATTTTATATTTTATGGTTAGGACTACAAAATAAAAACAAATTCTACATTCTTCTCATATTATTATAAAATGAATGTAAAATTTGAAAATATAATATAATATCTTAGGCTTATATTGCAATAAATTTTCTATTATATTATAAATATATTACTTCGTTATACAGTGCTAGTCTATTGTGTTTCTTATAACTTAATATAAATTTATAACATACTATAATATTATAAAGAGATTTAATATAAAATTTAAAATTAAAAAATATAATATAATATAAATACCGATTGAATTTTGGAAACTTATTTCCCATTAAATATAATCTAAATATTAGGGCCGACATGAATGCAGTCAATAAAATAAATATGTTTTTAACGATTTTCCTCCAAACGATTTGCGATCTCTTTATGTTGCCAACTCTTACTATAATAGAGTTTAGACTCGCTTTCGGGATAACCTTATTCTCCTATTTTACAAATTCAATTCATTTATTAGTTTTTATCAAATATGAATACAATTTTAAAATATTTTCGTTTACTTTGATCGGTAAATGTCTTCGAGAGATGAGCTCATGAATGGCACATATGATGAGTGCAGTCAACGACTGCTCTTTACACAGGAATCCAAACCACGAAAATATAACACTTAATAATAATTTGTATTTCATTTTGTATTTTTGCGAAATCCATATCAGAAGAGCGGACAAATAAAATATAGCCGAAAGCAGTTCAGCCCTCCCGACAATTGACGCAACCTTTGGGTATAAAATTTAATTAAATCATATAATTAATTGCTGCAATATTTTCTAATTTATTAGATTATTTCTATAGTGAGTGAAACACAAATATGACACAAAATATTGGATTAATAAATATGTAATCATTTAAATAAAGCCTAAATAAGTGCAAACTCGACACAAAATAGACGTGTTTTAGTGTAGTTTATGTGACACTCAATGGAATCGATGGCCAACTTTACTGCACTATTCTGACCGTTATGTCAGTTATAGCATAGAATATAACAGAATAAGGGAACACATGCTTTACAAGCCCTACAAACCATTGGTATTTCATTATATTTTAACCGAAAATGCATTTTGTGTTTTAGTCGAGCGATCTTTTAGTTTAAAGTAAAAACATATCATATGAGAGTTGGGATACTCTCGCCATCACAGCATTGAGTGGTTTATCACAACCTAAGCGAACGAAAAACAGCTCTAAAATGCACTAAAGTCTTAGTCTCCAAGTCTTAATGGATAAATCGATATAAGTTCACACAACTCTCTCTCTCTCTCTCTCTCTCTCCCACACTCACTCACTTAACAGCAAAAAACTTTAAGCGTTTATTTTTTTATGCACTGGTATTTGGAATTGTTATTGATTTGTATTACAGTATTTGCAAAAAATTGCAAATAAATATATATAAAGATTGAGAAGAAAGATGTGAAATGAGAATGAATGGAGAGAGAGAGAGAGAGAGAGAGAGAGTTGTGTGAACTTATATCGATTTATCCATTAAGACTTGGAGACTAAGACTTTAGTGCATTTTAGAGCTGTTTTTCGTTCGCTTAGGTTGTGATAAACCACTCATATTTTTTGCAAATACTGTAATACAAATCAATAACAATTCCAAATACCAGTGCATAAAAAAATAAACGCTTAAAGTTTTTTGCTGTTAAGTGAGTGAGTGTGGGAGAGAGAGAGAGAGAGAGAGAGAGAGAGAGAGAGAGATTTTAAGCAAATCATAAATTGTGAATCAAATTCTGTATGAAAATAAGTATTAAGTATAAAGAGAGCGAACATTGATTGCGAGCATAAATCCTGGGATCAAATGAAAGTTTGATTTGATTGCATCGATAGGGCTGTAATTCTTGTGCTTTCATTATATCGTATTCTCTAAACTCAAAAATATTGTATTTATAATTCATCTGAAATTTTGAGGATTTATATCAAATAATAGAGTAGTTTTGAAATGCATTACATGAAAACATTAAAAATAGTTAAGTGCAGGAACTAAAGCTTATAGTAAGTGAGAGAATCAGGAATTATAGACAATATGTTCATATGGTATTAGAAGAGCACAGAAAAATGGTCTCTAATTTCTTATTGAAAAAATGGTAAAAGCGATGAGTTTTGTGACTCTCTTCTAAACTATCAAATGACACATTAGAGCACCGGTGGGGAAATGGGTTCACAAAATAATAATCCATAAAATTTCAATTTATAAAATAGACAGCATTTAGTTATTCAATGGAAATTCTTTTGCTCTGTTTATAGCATTTAACAATTCAAGTCATACTACAGTTTATGGATATTTAACACAGTGTTCGACATTATAGTCGGCTATCTATGAATTAATTCATTACAAGAATTGCCAACAAAATGCAATTCTTTCTATTCGATTGTCAAATATTATAATGACTCCTAAAACTGGTCATTAGTTTTCATTCGTGACTTGTTTTAGGATCAACTGATTTCGACTCATATTCGCATTCAATCACATTTGCATCAAATTGATTGTACAAACTTATAGTATAACATTGTATTATATTCATTTATTGTTTTGTTTTTACTGTCTATTATACTATAATATTATGGAAACTAATTCTATATTTAGGTTTAAAAATTACTTCTCCTACCATATAATGTAATAAATATATTTTTCGTTTGTTTATTGAATTAATATTTGTTTTTAAAACGATTTAATGAAAACTTTCAATACTAACGGTGCGCTCAATCTATTAGACGCTGAATGCAAGGGAAGAGTAGATAAGAAGAAACGATAAGTTCTATAAAACGTGACTAAAAAGCATTTTTATACATTTGCCGCTTATCTCTATTTATTTATAATCATATTTAGGTTTTCTTTCATTTTCAACATATAGAGAGTATTTTTTAGAATTAATTTTTTGTGTGAAATATTCATTAAAGTGAGAATATATATGTGAATCGATAGTCATTAAGGATTCTTATGAAGTAATTTTTAAAAATCTTAAACTTTTAAAGATCTCTTGAGTCTAATAAGTTTGAGTCTCGGGAGTCTGCTATAAGTTTTGCTGATTTTTATATATTATTTCAGCGATAAGAATGTGCTTTTAGTGATGCATACATAGATAGCTAGGATATGCGGGAATGGGAGCTATTTTGATGAGAGCAGTGCATAACATCACTCACTGATAGATAATCTGGGGCTCAAATAATAGTTATGCGTTTACTACTACTTACACACTCTGTATGTATTGAATGAACTGCAAAGAGTAGAGATGTTATTAAGGATGTCATCGAATCACAGAATAGTAGCCGAGAGTAGCTGTGAGTCAAACAGTATCGAGAAATAGAGAAATACATGAATAAGACTTACATCAAGATAATGAGTTATTCATAAGAAATACATCGCTTTGTCTGAGACTTACTTATAAAACAAAATACAAACGAGTGAATGCAATGCAATGTTTATTATATGATATCCCATAGGATTTAAGCCATGAATAGAGAAATTCCATCTAAATGTAAGTGTTGTGAGGGGTCGGTAGCTTCGGTGGCTTTGTTCCTGAAAATTAATAAATTGTATATTAGTTTCAGTCACTCTACATAGATATAGACAATATTGCACAGTATATACAGTATATTGGGATGATATACACAATCAAAATAAATATCTATACAAAGATAGTGAACGCAAACATCGCATAAATCAACGCCGAAATGACTTTTGCTTTATTTGTAAAATAAGACTTTTCTACACATTTATGCATAAAGTGAGTGAAGTTGTGACCAAAATTGCGGGGTCTGTGCAACCATTTGCCAGCCATCATATGTTAAGTTGATATTTATTTTAATCAATTCTCTGATACTGACTTTATAGATGTGTGAGCTCTGGTAGCTCTGGTAGCTCTGGTAGCTCTGGTAGCTCTGGTAGCTCTGGTAGCTCTGGTAGCTCTGGCAGTGATCTGCAATGTCTGGTAGGCCTCAATCCATATAAAACTGGTATAACTGTTACAGCAAAGCGATAGCTAAACAGTTTAACTTGAAATGAGTTGAGTTGTAAGCAATAAGTTCTCAAACTTAGCCCAAACTCGACCCCATCTCTCACTCGACTCTATTCTCGGAGGAAATTCAATAGAAGTGCTGTCAGTCTTACAATCAAAACAACATCTCAGAGCTTAATGTGCGCTCAAAATCAATACATATTAGCCATCATATCATACTCACTGTATTTATGACGGCTTTGCTATCATGTTAATATCATTTCATACTTATTCTGCAAAACTATATTTCTTATTATAGCTCTTATTAGCATTGCTTTCGAGTTAATGAACCAAACGGTTTAAATTGGTTTCACTTCTTATATTATCTTTCCTTCTCTCGAAATTCTGTAATTTATAATTAGAGTTAATGTGATTATATATAGTGATACAAATTGACGCACAAAAACTCATCTCTCTATTTCTCTCTCCCTTTTACTTAAACAGAGTTTACTTTCAAATAATGAAAAAACTGTTTTTGAATTAAGATTCTGATCTCATTATATTGTTTAAGCTTATTATTAATGTCACACTCATTTTTGCTCACAAAAAACCAATGCAATGAATTTTGTCACAAAAAGTAAAACTTTAAGAAATATAATAACGAATTTCTACAGAATATTAAAGAAAATTCTTTGAAAAAATAAAATGACTTAAAATAAGTAGACTTTTGTTACAAATTTGTAAAAACTATACAATTTTCTTTATAAGAAATTCTAACTTAACTTAATAAATAAACCATAAAAAACATAATTCTTTGTACTATTTCCTTAAATAATTTAATACTATTATCAAATTAAATAATTATAAATATTAGCCAAGTATTAACCAGATTAGGTTAATTTAAAAAGCAAACAATATTTCCTAAATATTACAAAATAATGATACTAATGTTTACACAGTATAATATCTTTTTGAAGTATAAGTTATCTATAAAAAGGTGTATTTATTCATCAAAAGATATACTGAAAAGATTTGGTTATCGTTTAAATAAATAATTTGTGAGCAGAGTATAGGAGTCGACAAACATAAGAGATTAATTGAATGTGACATTACTTTCACAATAGTGTGATAAAGGTAATTGATTTTATGAAAATATATTTCGGTATTTTTAATATTTATTGCATAATTTTGGTCTAATCTTATTAACACATTTTTGACACAATTATTACAATTTTGATTGAATTACTTTCAAACAAATAATTCATATGCTTTTTCTGACAAATTATGATTTAATTTGACACAACTCTTAATAGTTTATACATTTAAGTGTTTGTTCAGAATTATTGCTATTAAAAGAACATTTAATTTATGGTCTTATAGACTACAGTATAAAAGTGATCCAACATTTGAATTATGGCCTAATTTATTGCTTAATATATTATAAATATATCACTTATACTAATAAAAATTACAAAATAAAACACATATCTAAAAGTTTATGTGTTTTATTGTAATAAAAAATTTGGGACTGATAGTTATGTCTGGTTTGAGTCAACATTTTTATATAAGTTTGCATTACATTTGGCGAGTTTTTATGAACGGATCGATATTTTGTCATTTTCTGGTGTTTGTTATCATTAGTCGAGACTTAAGAATATATTAAATTATAGATATTTTTTATTGAATCACAGAATAAGTGGACAATAAATAAGCTTTTGGACAGTTTTGACACTTACTTTATGGAGTGGTGTTCCCCAGAAGTCATTTTGAAATAATCGATACAATGGTGTGTTTGGCCTCAAATCCTTGTTATCGATGATGGCCGGCCGGTCATCAAACACCAGCTGACCCCACATTGAAGGCCAATAGCAGATACAACAGACCATTACCAGCAATACATATGGATTTCTATACGAAAAAAGATAATACAATAAATAGAAAGAACGGTTTGATTGCATTAAACACATAAAAAAGAAGAAAAGAAAACGTTGTATAAGAAGTTGAAAAGAAATGATACCTTAATATTGATGTTTTGGTGAGACATGAACTCCTGTTCCGTAGTTTTTCACAGGCATTGTGTGTGTGACGGCTCACAACGGTCTCCAATTCACAAAAACGAGTTCGTAGACTACAAAACAATCGGTGGGTTGAGTCGGAGTCGGTCTCCGAGCCCAGAGTCATCACTTCAGTGGATATACTAGCGATGAGTTAGCCCTTCAATACTCTGCAAGAGATATAGTATTGCATTTAGAAGATGGGAAACACATCACAATCGAGTGATTGATTTAGGAAACAATTGGAATGCTTGGGCACGAAATGTTTGTATGCCTTTCCCCCCCAAATATATTGGCGACCAGAATGTCGACTAAATAACACATGCCTTTCGAGCGTCTCATCAGATTAGATAACAAGCAAAAGATGAAGAGAGGGTTTTGAGGGCACAATGAGATGAGGTTTTGACGGCACACCCAGCCATTGCATACCATTGCATACATGAGTCAAACATTTTTCTTTGACTTATAGCCTGATATAGTGTACAAAACTGTACACTACATTGTGTTGGACTATAAAACACTACTTCAAACTCATCTCTGTTTCTCTTTAGCCAAAAGCAGAGAAAAGCTGTAGTCTCTCGAGAATTGCTTTTTGTGTGAAGTATTGCAGCGAAAGGAAAGAAAAAGAGTCGAAAAGATAGCAAAAGAGCAAAAACAAGTATTTCTCTGGAATCCAATACTAGAGCTCAGTGTATATACTGTATATACAGTACATATAGAGCATAACAGTCCTGTGTATGTGATGGGGGATCAGTTGAAAAGTTGCTCTCATTCCTAACCTTAAGTCTCATAAGATTTCTATTTGAAAAGAAAAAGAGAATTTTGTTGAGCGATGAACACAACCAGAGATCACAACAAAGCACTTGAACGCCACTAAAATGCTATACGAATACTGTATATAAACTGTACTCTACTTACGGTATACATACATCTCAGACACCACTAGTTGTAGCGATAGTAAGCGCCTGAGAATAAATCGACAAACATTTGACATATACTCCACTCTTTCAAACTAATTCTCATACTTTTTTACATTTTACACTTAAAGTACCGGTTTGTCTAAAGTGTCTAATCATTGAAATGTATTCGCTATTGAAATGTCTTCTCTATAACATAATACTGTATGTTATGTGAAATATTTGACCAAACTTTTAGATTTTTAAATTAATTAGAAAACACATAACATTTACAAAAATTGCCATTACTTTGAAAACAGATTATATTGTAAACTCGTTGTTTAAATTCATTACATCCCATACGTTATGCATATTTTTAAAATTCACTTCATTTTAAATAATTGGATTGAGTTTCAAATATTTTTTAATTAAAATGTTTGCATAAATATTTGAAAAATTTTCTAATTTCTCAAATAAGCTAGACTTGGATGTTATAAATAAGTCATTATGAATTCAATTTTGATGATATAAAATTTTGCTAATTTTCAACTTCTTAACTTCTTGTAATATTTTAATTTGTTAACAATATTTTAAGTTTTAATGAGAATAAAGTTATGTTGAAAGAAGTCAGTGAAAATGAATGAATGAATGTATGTGAGTGAGTGAGTGAGTGAGTGAGTGTGTGTGTGTGTGTGTGAGAGAGAGAGAGAGAGAGAGAGAGATTAGCGTTTAAAATAGTTCAAACAAAAAACAGGTGCGACGACTTTATATTTGTTGCAACAAATCTTGAAAATGTCTTTTCACGTCAATTGTCTAGTCTTTTGGCACTTCACAGACACCACATGTGATGTCATCTCAATGTGTTGTCATTTATAATATTCAAAGATTAGTCAAACTTCATTAGTAAAGAATCTCTACTGGAATACACAGAAGACAATAAATCTTATTCTTATAAGACTTACGTATAATATATGTATTATATTACAATTGTAAATAATATATTTAAAATCAAAAATAGTTCAACTACTGTTCAAATTATGGAATTTTAATTTTCATTTAATTTGCATGTGATTCGGTTATAAATAATAAACTATTAATTGGTTTTATTATAATCTTTCAAATGAAAGTTTATTATCTCAAGTGTTTAAATGAGTTAAATACAAAGACATACGAAAAGCATAAGGAATTGCATAACACAAAATAAATTGTTGAACAGATTTCTTTTTATTTGCAAAAATGATTATCAAATTTAATATAAACTAAAACCCAATAAAACTCTTTACAGAATAAATGGCTTCAAATAATATGTGAGGCATTGAGTGATCCATTACTGAGATATACTATAATCGAAATGAGAGAGAAAAGTGAGATCAGAGTAGAGATGGAGAGAAGATGTTGAGGAGAAGGCAAAGTTTGATCAATATTTTATGACCCCTAAGCAAACCAAAAAAGACAGCCTCTTCTTATCTTACACTACCGATCCTTTACTAGTATTTCTCGTTCAAAACCTTTGAATTATATTTCACCTAAAAGTCATCCTAAACTCCATTGTAGTAAACAAATGGCATAATAATAATGTCATTCAATAAAAATTACAGGAAAATGTCTTTTAATACTTAATGATTGATATTGATAATTAATTATTATCATCATTATAATGACAATTTTTCTAGCAATGCAATATAAAAAATATAATGACAACATAATTAGTTTAGTTTAATATTGTATTATATAAGATAATATAGATTTCTGTTGAGATAGTTTGCAAGGATAAACAAAAGTAATTTTACTTCAACCCTAATATATCTCCAATTGTCAAACCATTATCTCAAGAAATTGGTAATTCTTTTCAAATTACCGTTTATTTAAATATTATCAATATTATATTAAAAGTATTTAACAAATACACCACAATCTGAGCAATATGTATAATATTTATATGTGGAGAGATACTGTATTGATAAAAATAAAATGTTAAAATTCTAATTATCCAAAATGGCCATTCAACTGTGTGTGTGTGTGTGTGTGAGAGAGAGATTCTTATAATAATATTAATATTGTGTGTTCAGTATATTAATGAGAAAAGTGTGAGGAATCATAACAGTGTTTGCACTAAACTGTAAGCTTATATTAATTTCTGGAAAATAAATTTGAAGCCAAGGGCTAAGTTTATTACTTTTGAGCGTTAGATAACATTAATCATATGAGACGAGACCTACAGTATTGATATGGTTTGTGTCAACTGAACCCTACTTTCGTGGAGACTTCAAAGACATGTTGTATTTGTAAAAACTTGTAGACTTGTTCTGTACTGAACTCTGTCTATAATTGTGTGCATTTCGTAATTATGCTGTTTTTAATTAATTTAAATCCCATTTTATGCTTATGTAAACAAATTTCTGTTGTAAACTATTTTATGCGTCATTTGTCTTCATTATTAAAGTCACAAAACATATGTATAATACGCTTCATAGGTCTAAATGAGAGCAACTATTTTAAAGTCCATTTTAAGAGTCAAATATAAATCACTTGAACACTAATAATACGAACAAATGTTTTGCTTAAACCCAGAGTTTATTGAAGGGAAAGGTTGCTTTGGAGAGTGAAATGGAGAGAGAGAGAGAGAGAGAGAGAGAGAGAGAGAGAGAGCCAAAAACAGAGCATTACTTAAGTGAATTGACATAAGAATAGAGAGACCGACACTGAATGTGATTTGGGATGAGAGAGAGAGAGAGAGAGAGAGAGAGAGAGAGTTGCTTCTCATCTCTTTTCCATTTGTTTCCTTTTGTTGTTTTCAACTCATTTTCACTGCAACTCTACTCTCTATTACTCGACGAGTTTCGAGTCTTTTGTCAATGTATTGGTTTCGATCATTTCGTTGGCGTCTATCATGTGTTGGTCTCTATCTCTCACTTCTCGTATTGAAAGTTGTATTCAATTCTTGAGTCTCTAATGTCTCTCAAGACAACTCTTTATGGGTTTAGATTTGAGAACTCAATGAATGCATGCATTGATGAGAAATGAAGAGACAATTGATATACAGAATTGAATATCAATTTGAATATCACTGATGAACGCATACACACACATACTGTCTCACGTTTGGTCATTTGCTTTATTCATGACCACTGGTGTCCATACAGAGCACCGGCAGCTCAGACCCGTCTAATCAATTTGAAACGATGGCTGACACAAGAATAACATCTCATTCATTGTATGTCTACTCATATCTCTTGAATACTCACTACAACTCGATCTTCATCTCAAAGCTATACTAAACATCACATCATTTCTCGTATTTCTCGTCATTCTCTCAATTTCTATATGTATTCTCTATTCTCTAATACCAGTGTCTCTGCACTGAATAGCACACGAGACTTACAACTCTCATATGCCTTACAATTTGAGTCGAAAAATTATATACAATATTATGTCGAATTGAATAGCAATACAACAATAGTCGGCAATGGCTTCTGTATTAGAGTCGATAAAATCAGTGAATCGTAAACTTCTTATAAGAGCCACATATTTGACTCTCACAGAGAACTAACACTCAATCCATTTCCAAACTATAGTCTAAAAAGTTTCAAAAATAGCAAAACAAGCAGAAGAAGACCCGATCCGATGCACACCAGACGCAGAGTCCAAATCATAATATAATGTAAAACCCATTCCCAATGTCAGTGAAATCAATACAGAAGTTCATGACATACAGAATTAAACTAACAAGGCACTTTACAGACTAGTATTTCATTTATAAATTTATTGGAGTATAAACGAGTGCTCACTTAAGCTTTTCATTACTTTTCCAACATATTCATCAATTCTACAAATTGCCTCAAAAATACTGTCATTTCAAACAATTATTTTGATTTTGTTTTTTAATTCAGAAATACTTTTAAGAGAAATAAAAATAAGAATTTATTATATTATATTCACTTAAGTAATGCTCTGTTTTTGGCTCTCTCTCTCTCTCTCTCTCTTTCTCTCTCTCTGTTTCAATTGTTTTGTTGACACAAATTATATGAGACGTCAAGACTTTTTTCTTATTTACTTATAACTGAATGTAAATTCAATTTGAAATGTCTTTTTTTGTAAATCATATGAAAAATTGAATTTTGTTCACAAAATAGTTTACGTCAAATGATTCTCGTTATGTAAATAAAGATAATCTCAAAACTAGTGCTCAAACAAATAGAAAATAATGTGAATGAATGGTAGTTCACATTCTCGTAACGGGTAATCCTCTTTTGGTAATCCTTTAATGAATTATG